TTCTAAATATTTTTGAAAAATTGCCCACAAATTGCCAGATGACTATATATCTCAATTATGGAACCAGACATTAATCAATTTTCTTGATTTTTCCTCTCTTATGGAAATAATAAAGAAAACAATAATTAATCTTGTAATCCAATAAATTTATTGAAGGTCTATAAGTTTGAATGGCAATAAATGCAATGGTTCACCGTCAATAGATGCACAAGAGATGTTTGATATACAGCACTGATTTACACCAAGTTACACAGCTCTTTCACAATAATAGTGGGGTCCATAATTATAAAATAATCTTGGGGCCCACGACTGTTTACAAGACTGTACACCAATACTGTACAAACAGCTTTTTCCTAGATGCACCAACTTGGCTTTCATGTCTAACATAAATGGCAATGCAAATATGTGGCAACTTTACATGGAGTAGTCAAGTCAATTCTAGCTATTTATTAAGAAAATAATTAATTTAGTGTATAAGATAGGAAGTGTAGAAATAAAAATAAATAAATTCATTGTCTCTTTTATATCTTAAAGGCTAGATTTTCGATGATACAAGGTTCAATACTAAGGTTGATCATCAAAGATTTAATGTCGGATATCACATTTCATATTGATATTATATCTCTTTAACTAATATCTTCATTGAACGTCGTTCGCTGCAAGAATATAAGTGAAACATGTATAGCGCATTCACAAATTGATTATCATGGTCACGCCATTTACGATGTAATGTCACTATTTGTTTTTTTCGTTAACAACGATTCTCAAATCTCTTTATGTCACTATGAATTGAAAAATTGTATAAAGCTTTACATGATTCACAATGAATAATTCATGGGTTACAAACAAAGGAGATGCAACTTGACTTAATTTTATTTTTATTTTTTTGTTTTCTGCTTGTATCTCTTGACTTAAAAGTTTAAAACCCTAATCGCCATAAGTCAATCATATCACCATTTGCCAGATGCATAAAAAGTACAACTTGCTAGCCGATGGAAAACATCAAGGTAAGGTGTCCCATTCTAGCTTTACAATACAATAATTGAGATTTATGCTCCACAAGAAATTATTTACAGGCACATTGGATTGTATTGAAACAATATGATTGGGTCTTGATGTTAGAAAATGTAGCTGCTTTCTTTTATAATCTGTCGTCGCGTCTTTTAGTAGCAACGATACATACATACATACACATTGGAGAGCTTAATTTGAGAGTCGCAATCAGACTATACTTTTGAAATGACAAAAAAAAAATTGTATTGTTTTTAAAATCTTGTGGCTATTCATGATATATACATACTATGCAATTTGTGGGATCACACGTCTCGGTAAGTACAATGGAATATGTTATTTTCGAGTAACTTTCTATTTGTGAACAATGTTTAAATAAGTTTTTTTCTCATTTTAACAATAGAGCTAGCGGTAGTTACATTCAAATATGCAACTTATTTATAATTTGACCAACAAAAATTTAATTATTTTAAAAATTACTTATTTACTAATAAGCTTAGCCAAACATGCAAGCATGGATACCATGTTGCCTTCGAAAAAGACAAAGTGTTCAAATAATGAACATGGCAGAGGGACCATGGCACAAGACTTTGAAGTAACACATGTCTGGAAATGAGTTTACAGAAAGTGGAACTTGGTTGATGTTGACAAGAAAATTTTCCTTATGCAATAACTAAAATACCTTATTTTTATAAATTTAGTTTATTAAAAAATTCTGTTGTAAATAAAATAAAAAATAAATATCATGAAAACTTCGAGAATTTTTATACTACTGAAAAGTGAAAATTGATTGCGTAAATATAACGGAAGGTTAGAAGCCAACAAATTCATTTTTAACTGTGAAGATTATATTGTTGTCTCGAGTCAAAAGTTTTCGTTTAGTTTAAAACAATCATATGTAGAATCAAAACAAGTGATTGCTGAGATTCGCGTAAGAACATCCACGTTGAATTTTAAAGAGATTGTTCGAAAACATATTTATTCTGACTCGGACGGAGAAATGCACTGGAGTACGAAGGTGTATCGTGCACCTGAGTTTACGTATCGTAATGTTCATCTATTACCAAAAATAAGTTATTTATGGATATTATTAGGAGCACGTGCATATATCAAGTTACTGATTTCTCTAAATTAAAGGGAAGATTTGTGACTTTAGAGGGATGAAAATCGGAGGAGGAGATTTGTATCCTTTCCTTTTCGGCTAGATAACTAGTGACTTGTTCATCTTTTGACCTTCAGCCCATACATTGAAAATTTTCTCAAAAATAATCATTTTTATTATTAACCAATGAAAGCCTACCACTTGTTTCTCCTAACAAAATCACGACTATGATAGTCTATTTGTAAACTTATAAGTTGTGAAACAAATAATTTTATATAAAACTCAACGAAATGAAAATATTTGGACTTTAATTCCACTCAATCTTTCGACTTTAATTCCTTTCACACTTGAAAGACAACATTATTTTTATCATTAAAATTTTAATTGTATGAGTTTTTTTTTTTTTAATTGTATAATTAGTGCACTTCCTCGTAGGTAGGTTAGAATCATCGCTCATTTTTATTACATTTTTTGTCTGAATACATCAAAATAAATCGATTTCTATTCGGAGGAAATGAATTTGATAATTATTTTTCTAACTTCGTACTCTTTTTTCTTTATTTTATTGAAAGTCTTGATACGTATATGATTTTATTTGAATGCAACGAGGCTCGAACCAAGAATATTTTCTTGGTACTTAAGGGAAGTGTGAAAAAAAAAAAAATTGACCCTTCAAAATGGGAAACAAACATTCAGTTGGAGAGACCAAATGTGGAAAAACCCTTTCGAGTGCGGAAAGTCGCACTTTGTGTGTATCTACGTCCTAATGATAATGGCCACCCAAAACCCCTAATTCACTTATCTTAAGTAGCACTTTGTGTTTCTATGCCTTAATAATCACATATATTTCGTCCACAATAGACGGTCATAAATGGTCAACCATTGTAGGGAGAGAGCCCACATGATAACTCATGGATGGGGAGAAAATTTAAAGGAAAATTCTATTTGTACATAATTTTTAGTTTAGGGCGTGTTCGGTAAATATTAAAATCAGATTAAAATTAAAAAATTAGTCGTTATTGTTGACTTTTATTAAACGAGTGGGACCCAATAATGGCTATATTTTTAATTTTAATTGGATTTTAATCTTTCCCAAACAAGTACCTAATGTTTTACCGAATTGACAAGTGACGGCTCCCTATTGGGGGACACCTGGGCCCACGGAAGCCCCCCAATAGATGGCCGCCACTTGTCAATTGAGTAAAACGTTAAATAAAAAATTAAGTACGTGTAGCATGACTCAAATTTAAATATAATTGAAAAGTGTTAGAAGTAAATAAAAATGGACGATAAATAAGTAAGCAATATTTATAAATCTCATCAAATATATAAATAAAAAATAAATTGAATATTTATAAACACGAGCTAAATATAAATTTATCACAGCAGTGGTCAACTCTGGCAATCTATTACATGATTGCAGAGTTACATTTTTCCTTGCCGCATCTAATCAAATCTTGACAAACCGAAAAGTTCTCAAATTTCCTTTGAAATTGGTCACCTGGTTACAATTTGCTTTAGTATAATCTATATTGTTATTCAATTTCACCATTCTATCAATAGAGAGAGACTGTAATGATATTGGAAACTGTAGTCTATTTTTTTTTTTGGGGATCTTTTCTAAAATAAAGTAAAATAAAACGATCACTGATACAAAACTCATCGACTATCACCAATAGTACATTGTCATTGATGGTGAAGTGAATCGATATATATTGATGAGCTGGCCCGAAATTACCGACAATAATACAGTCAATTATTATCAACCTACCTTCGTCAATAATCATAGATGACATTGTCATTGGTTCCGATAGAGATTTGGTGGATGATCACTGATAAAAGATGCCAGTGTCTCGACATTGAGTTTCTCAGTCAAGAATCATAGACATCTTTATTAACAATTCACCGTTGCATTGGATATACTTTTAAACTTCGACCATGTTTGGCTAAAATTTACGGACCTCTCTTGTGTAGCTTATAAGATGCCATAAGTAAGGGCACCCTTATGGTATCTTATATACGCCACACAAATTGTCCAATACTACGTTGGCTTTATAAGAAAGTTCTGAAAAACCATCCAAACATGTTATATTTTGCTTTAAAAAAAAAAAAATATATATATATATATACACACACACCCGGGCGAACTTTCTTTAGTGCTTACGGATAAAGAATTGAGAGATTAAATGGGTTTTCTAGTAGTCAGCCTAATGTCCAGAGTATTGCACCCATCTGAACCCAGTAAATGAAATAAAGTTATAACTTCAAGTTTAATTTTTTTTAAAAAAAAAAAAAAGATTTAATTTTTTGGAGTCAATCTCATCTCATCTCATGAGCAACAAAGGCTTCAATTAATCCAACATCTAACCATATCATCTGCACATCTTTTCCTCTTTCTACCTGTCAACAAAACAAGTATAATCTATCAACAAGCATATTGCAACTGGTGGCATAAACCAGGAAGTGCAGCCAGGAAAGCAAGAATAATCATACATAAATATTGTTTCCAACAAAAAAAATCTTCGAACTCATTTTAAATTTACAGAAACGAGTGACGCATGATCGTGCAACGCAAAGCAAACTATTTCATCGACAATTATCCAGGTAAACTACGACTGCCTATGAAGTTTTTTGCAGTCCACATTACTGAACGAGAAGTTACTCTACAGCAATCCAACACGGTGAATACAGAAATAAAACAAAGAGCACAAGCTACCTAGTGACATAACGATTCCCAGTGTGTCATCTCAGGAACTAAGAATAAACATGGAGCCTCTTCTAATGAAGAAACACAGAAACAGTTTGGCGTATAGGGCTTGGTGGCCCCCATTTTATACAAAGAATATGAACTACCTCAACATAGTGGCACCAACTTTATTCTGAAAACTCATCTCATTTCCTCAGAATTGAATTTGTTCCAAGCTTCCTGTGAAAATTTTCGATTTGATGAATAGACATAGCTTGAGAGGAATTAATGCAACATTAACATGCAAATTACACGTGTGCAACACCGTGGAAATGTATTTGTATACATTGGTCTAATCAATGTTTGGAAAATTTGTGTGAGACAGTTGGATTTATTGGTTTATAAACTATCGTAAGTAATTCTTTTAGTATTTTTTATATCCTTGTGAATACTTTTATTGTTTTGTCTTGAGTCTTACCCCTCGCCATGTTTTAAAAAATTGGATCTAATATATTTCAACTCTGTTCAGATCCTCTACTGGCATAGCAAATGGAATGATAGATGCATGAAATTGAAAATGTTAAAATTTCAACCATATGCAACAAAATCATGGACTTCTTGAACAATGAAAGTACCTTCAGAAGATCAAAAACCTTCTCAGCAATGTATTTTTGTTGGAGACTGGCTCCTTTCTGTTGAACCTTGTCTGGATGGACACATAAGGTTGCTTTATAATAAACCTTTTTCACTGATGTAGAAGTAATTAAATCAGTCAATGAAACTTGCTGCCAACCACATTCAGGCCATAACACCTGCACGTCATCCCATAGACTCAAAGAATTAGCGTCTTTTAAAATGAAAATGAAGTTATCACATGTCCATACTAGTCAGGTGAGCAATCAAATGATATGACTTCTCATTCCTATAGCATCCCAATTCATTACCAAAATCAAAAAGATAATTTTCGAGAATGCTACAATCAGGCTCCTATTTATGTATTATAACCCTTCAATATACAAAAAGAGGATAAAAACAAAGGCGCAAGCTCACTTCTACATAAACCAATTTCTTTTCATTTTAAATAAATGAATGTAATTATAAAGTGAACTAATTCAACTTATAGCCAACATGTTCATAAATGGTTTAGATAATCATCTCTGAAAATAAAGTCAAACTGTTGATTTCAGTATTATAATTTACATCATATTTGTTCAGCTAGGAGGTTGGAATCCTGATATCCCAAACATGTTTGGTCCTCAGATTTTCGACATTTGTTCCGAAATTCAGACAGCAAACTTCAACACATCATATCCTGCAATATTATGACTGGATGAATGACGTGCACCCCCTCTTTTTACAACTTTGCATGGTTGCCTCATTTACATGCTGGAAATTTTGAAGTGGGGGCACTAATTTCAAGAATGTGCAGATTTTGGATTGAGAATGATGGTGGTGCGGATATGATGTGATGGTGTTTTGCTGGACTTCGGGGTTGAGTTGGTGGTAAGGCAGCGATCTCCCTTGTGTGTGGTGGTAGTGAGTGCAAATGGAAAAGAGATGGTTCGGCCATGATGTGGTTTGTGACAGACAAAGATAAAGGAATTGCATTTTCTTTTCCTCCCGGGTGGGGGTGGGTGGGGGGGNCATTTTCTTTTCCTCCCGGGTGGGGGTGGGGGGGGGGGTCTTCAACCTTCTCCTTATTACGTTTCTGGCTATTCTTCAACTAAATCATTCAATTCAATCATGCTAGGTCATATATTGACGGACTGAAAATGGGCAGAGAGCTAAAGGAATGCTGACAACTGGTCTAACTTAGTTTTAAGCTCCTTTGAACCACATTTCTTTCTTTCACATTGAACAGAAAACCTCCCCTTGAATCAGTCTCTTTAAGAAGCTTCAATGTGCCAAAATCATCTTCTTTCTTTGATTGAACAGAGTTTCTGATTGATGATGGTGCTTATAAATTTAGGGAAATTGCAGCCGCGGTCCCTAACCTTTTTAATTTATGTAGACTTTACCCTAACCTTCAATTTGTGCCAACGAACACCCCTAACCTTTCACAAATATGCAGCTGAGGTCCAAACGGATGGAAACCATCCATTTGACTGTGAGTTGACCACAAAAATTGATTTTGACCAAATTTGATAAGCGAAAAATGGTAACTTAGTTAATTCCATATTATAAAAAACCAAACAAAATTAGGGGAAAAAAACACCTTATCTTCCACCCCACCCTCCCAATCAAAACTGCCTCTTCTTCTCTCCGGCGAGCCCAGCCACCACAACTCCCCACACCACCACCCACTACCAGTTTCGACACCCTCCACCGCTACCTTCCAACTCACTCCACATTTGCCATTGTAGATTTGAAAATAAACCAAGATAATTCACCTCATACTCGAAAATAAAACCAAGAAAACTCACCCACTGTCGAACAACAGCCACCGTCGCCACCCACACGATGCCGCACCTAAATCGATACCACCACCATCTCAAACCGCCAACAACCTCTGTAACGAAGACTCATAGACAAAAGTGAAATGGTTGTCAAATCCTTTGCGATTTCGAAACCCCAAAATCGACACCAAAGATCTAAGAATTGGATCTCCACCAATCGCCACCATCACTACCGATTGTCAAATATCCACAACTACAATTGAATCTCATAAAATCAAAAAATGAAAATAAAACTATTACAAAGCTTCAACAAATTTATGAAGCTGTTGAATCTTTACGATTCACTCCTTAAATAGCCATTTCTTGTCATAAAATAATCATAAACTACAGTTAAAGATAGGACAAATAGAAGGGGCTATATTGGAGAGTTCACCAATCGCCATGGCTCCTTTACTACTGAGAAATTTGCTTCTCTATTTTTCTATGCCGACAAACCCCTCGTATTCTTATTCTTAGCAGAAAAATATAGACGTCTTGAAATTCTACGTTGTTTTCTTCCCTCGGCTTTTCTCTTTCTTCGTCTTTTGCCTTCTTTGTTTCCCGATTTGAATTCTTTTGCAGAATCCTACAACTATTCTTGGGTGACTCAGGTGGTGACGTCGGTGAATCGGGTGGTGCGAGGGTGCTCACACATTTGTGGCAACCGACCTTTGGATGGCGATTTTGACCACCGATGTGGGTTGGAGTGGGGAATAAGGGGAAGGTAGATCCACAAGCTTCTGGATTTTTCATGATAGTGGGCGGGGTGGGTGGGTAGATTTTCTTTTTCTTTTTCCTTTTTTTAATTATTTTATGTAAAATTTATGGAGTTACAATTTTGCCTTTACCAAATTTGGTCAAAATCAATTTTTTGGTCAACTAACAGTCGAATGGATGGTTTCCCATCCGTTTGGACCCAGTTGCATTTTCTGAAAGGTTAGATGCGTTCGTTGGCACAAATTGAAGGTTAGGATAAAATCTGCAAAAATTAAAAAGGTTAGGGACCGCTGCTGCAATTTTCCCTAAATTTAACGAGGATTGGAAGAATTGCTCAAAATGTTTCATTTGGGGTAAGCCACAATTAGTTTAGAACATGAAGATAAGGAAAGAGCCACTCAATTTGAAAATGGAGCATTCCTTCTGTATAGACTGAATGAAAACTCTACACCCCCCCACGCCCAAGTAAGTGTTGGCACCAGCACAGATACAACAAGCAGCAGCAGCAGCAGCAGAAGAAGAAGAAGAAAGGAAAACTGTGTAATAAAAGAAAAATAGAAAAACCTTACACAGTACCATTAACTCTGCAACAAAGAAGACGGAAAGAAAATGGATTGAATGGTTAAAAAAAAAACCTGCTGCAACGAAGACAACAGAGCTCTCAAATTTCCTTCTTTTCCTGCAGCCCAACGCTTTATATCATTGTCCATAGTTTCAGCAAGCATCTATAACATAAAGTTCAGTTACAAAGGGAAAGAATGACTAAATTCCAAATTTTATACATATGGTCTTAAAACTAGTCACTGCCCCATAAACTGAAACCACATAAAACGTGCACGTGCAAGAACATATAGAGGAGATATAAGTGCCTTAGAAATCATTAAAATGCATTTTTCCAGGTCTATTACATGTCTCTCCTCCTGTTCACATTGTGCCTGAAGATCACGTTGATTCTTATCAGCCAATGCTTTAGCCTGAAAAAAGAAACAATTGAGAATTTTTAAACCCACTACAGAAGGGTATCAGTCTAACCATAAATGACGTTAAAGCATTTTCACGTGTTCAAACTAAGTTAGAGTAGCTTCATATTTGTTTCATTAGAGCCAGTCCACAGGCTCACTAATGAAAGCCCTTAGTGCAAAGCGTTCTCAAATCCCAGAAGGAACAGGATAAGAAATGGAGGAAATGGTAGGGACTGCTTTTCTTCCAATCAGCATAGATAATATATAATATTCAAAGCAAAACTAGTGATTTAATGGCCATCTTGGCATATACATACATTGGAAGCCTGACTTACTCGGGCACCATTTACCGAAGTTACTTTAGTACAAGTTACATAACCTCCCTATAAACGACAGCTAACAAGGATTAGTGACTCCATTGTTCTTTTTTTTTTTTTTTTTTTATGCTCTCTCTGCCATTTCATTAATTTTAATATCTCAAGCATAAATTTGAGAGGCAAAAAGTATGGTTATCACCTCTAAACAATATTAAGTAACAATCGTAATCTGAAAGCAGGCAGCATAACTAAGTGAATGTTGAGTTATGAAAATATACCATACGAGCTTGGGTCCTCATATGATGATTTAGTCTTGCTCTGCGTCGTTCTTCACTTTCCCCTTCTTTTTCCTTAAATTCTCCGGAAGAAGCGTCATCTAAACACAAATTACAAATGGAAATTAATCATAAAGGCTTAAAACATTAGCATCACCAAACATTCTATACGAGCAACAGATAAATAGTTGATCCTCTCCGTATAAATCATTGTGGGCGACAAGCAAGAAAACTGTTCATTCTGATAAAAGATGTTTCACATAAATCCCTGCCCAGAACATCATATGACTTGCGTTGTTTAAAAAACCCATTTGAGGCTTACGCCTTGAATCCCTGAAGGTGACTAAGGTGGTCTCCAGTTTGTTTTGTGTTTTCCTGGATTATATTACTGGCCTTAGCTTTTCGGGCTCTCTCTTTACAACCTACAGTACTTTACAGGTTCTTTCATTTTCTTTTTCTGCTTACACAGAAAGAGGAAGGAGAATACAACATTGCAAATGGAAGATCATGACTAAGTATGAGAAGATACAGATAGCAACGATGAGGAAGATTTTGATTATTCCATTAAAGATCCTATTAGTAGTAAAGATATGAGAGATTTCCAAGTCGTTAAGAAATTAAATTTTCTACTTTATTGACCTATTTTATGTTTGTTTGCAAGTTAGACTATTAATTTTGTTAATATACTTTATAATGAATAGTTTATGGTTCATTATGAGCACGTTTTTGTATTTTTTTATTTTATTTTTTTTTTGAAATATTATATTGGTTTGTCTTGAGGCCTATGCCTCACCTTGCAGAGGTGAAATGTTTCATTACCCAATTAAGCATTTTTAAACATTGACTACTTGTGTAGATTACAAACTTCACTCTAATTTTATCCTAAAAGTGAAAAAAATAAATAATAATCTAGCCTGCTTTGGCCTTTAATCAAAAGCTCGGTATCTATATATTGTTTTGACAATTTAGGACCTATGGACACTTGAGGATTATAATACATATTATTCTACGTATAGGTCAGTAAGCATAGATATACACACTGGGTGTGTGTCAGAGGGGGGGTGGGTGTGAGACAGAGAGAGAGAGAGAGGCGTTCTCCTCCAGAAGCCTGAATAGTCCATTTAACTAGCAAAAGGTTGAGCTTAGTTGGAACACGAAAAATAAAAACATGCGACACGGTAGAAATTCCTTTAATGTTCATACTGCATCTCCAACAGATGTTAATTCGATTATAAACATTTAAAGCATGTCCTAAACACTACACCAACTAAAATTTCATGTTCAATCATTATACCCTAAACTAAAACTTTTGCAAAAAAAAAAAAAAAAGAACTATTCTTGGGTAGGTGAATATTTAGAAGCACGAAACCATTACTAAGCTATTAGTGACCTACAGAGTACATAAGAGCACTGATATTAAGCAACTCTGCAGTGAAGGTCACTTTAGCTGATGAAAGTACCTCCAAAAAGTGAAGAGAAGTCATCAACATTATTTGTCATTGAAGGTGCCTTCTTTGTGCTGACTGACGACGAAGAAGTACTCTTAACCTCAGACTCTCTTTTCTCATGGAATAGCGTATCAAACAGGGAGTCCTGGAACCAATCAAAAAATGAAGAAAAAAAGCTAATTAAGAATGAGTTTCATGAAGAAGTCAGTATGCAACAAAACTATTTGAAGATTTAGTTTTCTACCTCAGTTGTAGAACTTCGCCTTGCCATATGGTTTGACTGTACACCTTCGCCAAAAAACTTATCAAAATCACCTTCATTCTCAAATCCCTTATTCTTTACTTCATTGGCCCTTTGTGGTCGTTCTTCATTTGTGCTTTGACTTTTGTGAAGTGTCTCCTGTTTTCCTTTGAGTTCTCTCACATTTGGATCTACCTTCTTTTTTCCCAGAGAAATTTTTATATTTCCAATTCTCTCCGAATATGGTCTATCATTTGCACTCGTCACATGTTTCAGTTTCCCTGTTCTATCAGTATTTGCATCATACTGGGCTTTACCCATGGCAAAATCTTCAAGTTCATCAATTGAAGATTGAACTGAGCCGTTTCCTGCATTTTGTTCCACAGACCCAGCAAATGGCCAAGAAGCATCTCCCTGGGATACAGAGGATTCAAAAAATAAAAAAGGATCATCCACCAACATGGAATCTGAGTTTGATGAATGCCCACTTGACTGCTTTGTGTCGGAGTGCGCTCTGTGTAAAGGTTAATTTACAAGGATGGGTATCTTTATCAGAAAATTAAAAGAGAAACGAATGTACAGTAAGATAACACTTAGTTTAGTTGTTTCTACATAACAGATAACAAGACAGTTATTTCAGGCACTTTAGGTACAAAACCGCTGCATCGCTTGATGTCAACAAATCACTCATGATCGATGCACATGTACTAAGTTCGCAAGCTATGGATACAATTATTGTTAAATCAATTTTTGCTTTTTGCTTTTGAGCCATAAATCAACAAGCTTTAAGTGCTTAGATTCGCCATGGTACATTTGTTTAGAACAGAAAGCAACATAAACCAATATGACTCCTCTCAAAGAAGCTTGCTGAAAATCTGAAGTTAATAAAAGACCAAAATTTTGGCATTTCACCTGTGGGTAGTTCTTAGACTTTGTCTCTTATTGATTTCCTACTTTACTTTAAAGGTTTAGCTTTAGAATGGGGGTATACATATTCATTCTGAATTTTTTTAGTTATCAGGCCACTGCAATGCAGGCAATGGGCCAAGCACGTAGAAATTCCAAAAGATAAAATTTGAAAAAATGCCTCACACCAAGCACCTCTATGAAAATTACATTTCTAAAAAAAGGGGGATCATAACCAGAATTCTAACTACTTTCTACACGTTTCATAAAAATATGACCTCAGCCATAACAAAATAAAACTGTGTCTTATTCCCAATACATTTTTCGGTTGGCTGATGAATTATTTTTTTCCACTTGTGTGGTCCCATATGCTGAAAGATCCAATGCAAACAAATCCTTTGCAACCACACTAGGGTTTGTTAATTTTGGCCTACCTATCTTCTAACACATTCTTCCAAGATCACATCAGTCTCATGAATGAAAGCTTCTTTATGCATGAGCAAGACATGTCTCAAACATCTAGGTTCTCTTCCCTTTAATCTATTCTTCTATCGGTGCCATGTCCAGTTGCTAGCTTATTCTTTTTCTATAGCTTATTTATTATATTGTAGACACACATCCATCTTTACATCTTTTTTTTATAACCGTGCATGTCCGGGCCAGCTTGCGCGCACCTCGACTACTTCCACGGCCCCCTGAAACTTACGGTCGGATACTCACCTCAGTGCCCCTGAAGGGATTCGAACTGGTGACCATTGGAGAGCAAATCCAAAACCTGACCAATTGAGCAACCCCTCAAAATTTTTACATCATCATTTCCACTACAATCACGTTATTGACATTTTGCTCTTTTGAAAACCCAACAACCAATACTATTAAGCATAGAAGTTATAACTTTTTATGTAGAACTTGATTTTTAACTTTAGAGGATTATCCTATCACATAGAATCCCTCTAACACTACTCCATTTCATCCAACGAGGTCTAATTTAAGAATCCAATATATTCAGCATCGAGTCCTCTACCTTGTAAATATTGGAACCTAAACATCTATTTGAATCAGTCTTTAGGTCTATTATAACTATGTCTTTGATGAATAGCATACACAAAAACCTCATCTTGCCTCGTAAGCTCCTCCATGACTGAAGAGGTACAAACAGGGAAGGAAAACCTTGATGCAATTGTATAGTGATAAAGATATTTCTACTCCTACTACATCTCATATTCATGATCACTCTATATTACACATCCTTCATAATCAACATATCGAATAATTTTCTTGCGAGCACCCCATAGAACTTCCTAGGACACCCTATCATAGGTTTTTTTCTAAATTAATAAAAACAATTTGCAAATCTTGTTTATTTCCTATATACCTCTCCATCAATCTCCTAAGCATGTGAATGCTCTCTATACTAGGCATAATTTCAAAGTGGTTATTTTGAGACCACAGGTAATATCCTAATTTGTCCTCCTTTTACTCTTCAAAATCTCATTCAATGTTCTTGTCAACCATAAAATATCCACCTCACCAGACACTTCCATACTTGAGAATTCCATGAGCACTAATTGCTTTTCTCAGACAAACCCTCTTCATAGCCTTTTTTGGTTATGAAACCTAAACTATTTAAGTATGATTAACATTCTTATCTGCTGTGGAGTTTAACAAATTACCATCCTTCAATCAAATTAATTTTCGAAAAAATTCCTCCATATTCAATCATCTCATTTCTCATAAGCAAATTCTTTGATTTCATTTTTAATACAGTTAACTTGGTTTAGATCTCTACTTCATGCTCCCTTTGGCGAGATACCAATTACATAGTCAATAATTTTCTCATCATCATTGGAACCAAAATAACTATAAAATTTAACAACAAAATCTCTCATATACTTCAGCATGAGAGTCCTAAATTATCCTCTTGGCTTCAAGCCTAGTTGACTTAATCTTTCAAAAAGCCTTGACATTTTAATGTTTTAGCAAATTTTAATAACATTCTATTTTAGTCTGATGTGTTACTAAACCTTCTTGATCCACCACCATATATTAGGTGATTACTGCCTTTAAACTTTATTAATATGGCATCACTACTTTCACATGTGCCTAGCACCTTATTCTATATTGTGTTACGATCTCTTTATATATCTCTTCTTCCTTCCTTCAAAACCCTATCCTCAAAAATGAGCTTGTTTTCTCCCCACAGATATCAGCATCTTCATCCTATGAAATCGAAGCTCTTTGGTCCTTCGTTCCCTTTCTTAAAAACCACATCAAGCACTGCTAACCTATATTGTGTGGTAAAAGTCTATGACTAGAAATTACATTATAGTCCTTGCCCAAAGATCTAATCACCCTCCTAGTAAGGATGAATCCTTTTTTACTAACTTGAGTCTAATTTTAAAAGTTATAAGGTTGGAGTCTCTCTTTTTGAAGCATATATTCGCTAGCAAATCATAAGCCAACCTTAAGTGAAAAAATAGCATTGACTACTTCATTCAAAGACAACATTTCCTTGTGCTCTTTCATATCCTAAATTACCTCTCTACATGAAAGTTCAAATCCACCCCGATAAAGATCCTAAATTAACAAGGGGTTTGCGTGAATCAATTCTTCCATGTCTTCCCAATACATTTTCTTCGTTGTCTTATCTAGTCTTGTTTCTAGGGCATATGGGCTAATAATACTTCTTGAAAGAAGTGTAAGTAATATGATCATCCGATACCATTTAACAATAATCCAGAATTTAAAGTCATGATAGAATCAACAGATTTTCCAATAATCCTAAGTTTGAGGTAATTGTATAATCAAGAAAATGATTCACAGCTGAACTACTGCATTGCAATCACAAAATAAACACAAGCAAATAAATTAACAGAAACATATAGATGAAATTAAAGTACATTTAGCACATACCCATTATTCGATGGGCTAGTTCCTTCAAATCCAGGGATCAGATCATCAAATCGTGGCCCATTTTCCTCCTTTTTTCCCTTCAAACTACTTGATTTCGTCCCAAAATTCCCTAACAAATCATCAACAGAATTCGTTCCTTTTGGCGCTGACCACAACAAGTCATCATGCCCATTGGAACCGAATGAATTCTTATCATTGGAAGAATTAGTCGAACTCTTAAACACGGAATCCAAGTCAATGCCTCCAGATTGATTTGTACTCGAAAAGGGCCCGCCGAAAATATCATCATCATCAAAATAATTGTGCGATTTTCGATTGCTGATATTGACATTGGATCTGAAAATCCCATCAAGATCATCAACAATAAAAGAGGAATCATTAGATATCGTTGAATGGGTGCCTAAGCTTTGAGGGAATCCATCACTGCTACTGAAATTGGGTTTCGACTTCAATTTGGCCATGGGAGCTGATTTCCCTTGGGATTTGAACCCAATGCTCTCAACCAAACCTCCAAATTCATCCATTCTTCAACTGAGTTTGTAATAATACTATCAAACAACCTATGAAAGAAGAAATGCTTGAAAAGAAAAATACGGAAAAGTGGAAATGCCCTTGAAATAGTATGTATGTGTACTTTTGGTGGAGAAGAGATATGAGCGGCAAAAATGGAGATATATTAACAAATTAATGGAGGAAAATAGAGAGATCGTATGGATGAATTATTGAATAGATAAATGGATTTTACTTGTTTTGGTGAGTATTTTTGGATTGCTAAATTCTCTCCTCTCTCCGTGCGTCGGTACAGCAACGCGTGGAAAGATTCCTGGAGGGGAGAGAGAGAGAGATGTCAACGATTTAGGTAAAGGTGGACGGTGGAGGCCAGATGTGGTGGGTCGGCTGGTTCGAGCTGGCGGGGACGGGGTGGGGATTGGTGTGGGCCTCACAGTTATGCTTGACGTGCCTTCAACCTTCAAAGAATTCGGTCCTTCGAAAAACCGGATCTGGCTATTCTAATTGAATCATCTCA